TACTCGGCAAGGGTCCGTGAACCCTGATGCATAGACATGAGCAGCTTGGCAGCCGAGGCGGAGCGAGCCGGTACGTCGAATACCCTACGGAAGGCATCGACAAAACCGGAAAACTCGTGAATCACTGGGTCATTCCTCTCCGATAAAGGGATTCGCCCAGGCCAAGGCCTTGTCTGAGAGTAGCGATATTAGGAAAACCACTTTTGACCTCTCAGTCGGAAAAGCGTGGGGTATTAATTCGAAGTAAATCCCCACCTGGTGAGGAAACCACGACACTGACTTGGCTCACCCCCAAAGCGCTGTGGAAGAGGGGCTGAACCAGTCATACCTCTGGGCGCCGTGGGTACCGCAGCAGCCGCGGCGGTAGGCGCAACCAGCGGAACAGCAGCGGGAGCGACCACCGGAGTGACAACCAGCCTAATAACACCAGGAGTAAGGTGCGCGGTGCGTGCCAACAGAGTTTTGCAACGCCTGAGCGAACTGATCCAACAGGAGATCCTGTTGATCCAGTCTGGCGACCAACATTGGAAGTGAAGGCGTACCTGCACCGTCAGGATTCATGGCACTTGTGTAATGTCAGGGCAGGGCTGTGGAACGGACAGGTAGGCCTAGTGGCAGGGTAACGCACTGGCTGACGACAACCACCACCAACAGAACCGAAGTCCCTCAGGGCACGGAGTCTAAGTCCCAGGCTGCCCTTCACCAGGGCCCCTGATGGTGGGGATGGACTTGACGCAGCCAGGAACCAGGTCGCGGCCCCCCGAGACACCCCGGCTGCGGTAATGGCCGCCGCCAATGGCGTGTAGCTGGTGAGAATGACAATAGCGTAGTCAGGCAAGCTGGGTCAACAACAACGGGACAAAACAGTACAGAACAGTAGACAGAGAATCACAGGTCACGGGCCGGGTTCAGCAACGGAAGTTCAGATCGAAGGAAAACACAGAGAATGGTCTAGTCACAAGCCGAGTCAAATACCAGAAGAGTCACCAGCATATACACAGAGCTGTAGCAAGACAAAGACACAAGACACAAGTGCAAAGAGCATGTGCGGATCACAGGCTTATTTGTACTCAGCCACACCCCTCTGGGGATGGACCTCAGAGACCTGAAGGCATAAAAGCTTCCCACCATGCTCAGCATAAATCCAAGATGGATGCCAGCACATGGAGTAACATAACCTCTGGGAAAAGGTAGGACCTTGACAAGTACACAGAACATGGAAATGCAATTATTTTAGTAAATATAAACTGCTAAATACCTTTTCTCATCAGCAGTATATAACAGTCTTGTGACTTCTATCAGTGTCTGGACGAGCACTGGGTTAATCTTGTAGGAGGAGTTTTCATCTCTCCTTATTGTCCTATGAGGCTGTATGACCCCTGACTCTCTTTCCACACCGTGCTGATTGGCCCTATGCTGATGATATGAACTCTTCCAAAGGAAAAAAAAAACCTCTCTAGCAATACACACTAAACTGAGCATGAACAGAATGACTCCTAGGGTTCTAAATCATCACATGGATTGGGAACTGTAGAAGAAGGGGAGGATCAGAGAAGGACAGGATCAAACTGCTTTTTTGCACAGTGCAGAGGATGAACACCTGAAGGTTCCACAGTACCAAACAGTTATAAGTGCAGTTATAAGTGCATAGTGCAGTATAACAAGCATGCTGCTTTACTGCATATACAGACTGATTTTACTGTGGGTTTAGTAACACTTTAAATATTCTCCATGCTTCAGTGTCTAAAACACATCACAAGCTGAGCTGCTTGCATCATTTGGTTTTTGAAGTGTTGAATTGTAGAAAATTTTGTAATTTCCTTACAGTTCACTTTGAAGCGAAAAGACCAATTAAAGTCAGAATAGGTTCCCAGTCTGGTAATGGTACTCCTGTTTTTTCTATTTACATTTTTGACCAATGTACCCTTGAGTGTAGACAAAGATTTAATGATTTCAGCATATTGCTAAAGGGATTTGAAATTCTGGCTAACCCAGAACACAGCGTATACACATGGTTGCACATGGTTGCAACAAATCTAAATGCCTCAGCACAAGTCTGCAACGTTGACATGTGTTAGTAAAACCGTACATATCATCACAACTACTTTGTACATCCAGTTGAATTATACCGCGTTTTTTTCAGGAGAAATTGGGCTTTCATTTGGTTGTAAATGGTAATGGATAGCTCCTGATTTTTTTTTTATTATCAAAGGAAAACTGGCCCAAAATAGTAAAAAAAAAAAAAATCTTTTTTTTTTATTTAGCTGGGTGTTTCTTGTTACTACCATAACCTACCACCAAAGAACAACCCAATATAAATTCTCAAGCTCTTGACGTTCGCGCAGCAATACCATATATGTGTATGTTATTTGTTGTTTGTACCCGTAGTACAGCCCAGAAACAATAGTGCGTATCATTTTGTTTTTGTCTTTTTTTTACCTAAAACACACTCACATTGACACTAACACCAATTTTTTTTAATCCTGACCTTTGACCCTGACCTTGACCCAAACACTAACCCTGGCACTGAAACTAGAGCAAACCTTGATCTAGGTATTTTTCTTTATTTTTTAATATTTCTTTATCTTCTTTTTTTTTTTAACAAACATTTTTTTTCTCTCTATGCCAGGAGTTAGAGAGATACAATGTATCTCTCTCCTTCATTCATAGAGAGAGAAAAAAGCAAGGGGGGCGGGCTGTACAGTGACTGATCACTGTGATAGCCAATCAGAGGCTATCACAGAGATTATGTGACCCAGAATCAGGTGTCCTGGGTCGTTAGAATGGGATCCGGGGCTCTCAGTGACACCGCAGTCTTTGTGCACAAAGACGAGTACGCAAATATGCAGCCCCACGGAAAAAAGCCCAGTTCTGTGAGGCCGCATATTTGTGTGATGTCGGCGTGAAGGGGTTAATAACCTCAAAACCAAACTAACACATGTTACTTTTTGCACAAATGAATGGTGTATTTGTTATAGTATTTAATAACATGTGATGCAAAGTGGGTGAGTTTTGATCAAATAAAAACAAACTGTTACAATTAAAAATCAAAGCAGCACAACTAATAATTTTATCACAAACCAGCACAAACACGGCACTAACCAACTAGCCTGTAACTTTTGGCTGTTGTAGGGGGGCTGGGGGACCTTTGGTGACCTTTAATAAATTGGTAATAATGCAAAAATTATAAACGATAGAATGGATATTTAAGCGGCCCAAACCAGCACCAACGCAGCACTAACCAACCAGCCCAGTTTCATGTCTTTTGGCTGTTGTAGGGGGGGTGGGTGACCCTTTTTGACCTTTAATAAATCGTTAACCACTTCCCACCCGGCTTATAGTAAAATGACGGGTCGGGCGAGCCTCTCGTCGATCAGGGAGGGTGTCATATGACGTCCTTCCCAGATCGTACCTTGCATGTGCCCGCAGGGCCGTGCTGGGGCGAGATATGTCACCAGCTGCTGTGTACCTCAGACATGGCCGATGACAGATCTGTGTACCGACCCTGTTGCCAGTACCATGTGACCTGCTGTGACCAATCGCAGCAGGTCACATGACAGTTGTATACAATGGATGGCTTCCTTTCATGCCATCCATTGTATACAAGTGTGTCTAAGCTGTGAATGGTCACAGTGATCACATGCATGTTAAATCTAAATTATGATTCGGCACTTATATTGATGGCAAGCTTGCAAAATATTGGTTTTTTATGATTAGTCATAATTAATATTAATATGTGTGAAAGGTCTTTTGACAAATGGCAGTATTACTATTCTTCAATTAAACTGAGACTGAAAAAGATATGAATAAGTTAGCTGAGACAGCTAACCAGTTGAAAGTTGAGTATACTATATTTAGGCATAGGAGTATCTGGTAGTTATGTCAAGGTTATTAGAAGTGACTTACTATTACATTATGCATTTTAATAGTATCTGTGTGTATTTAGTATACGTTTCTAACATTGATACATACATAGTTTAGTGATTATACATTGATATGTTCTTAAGCTATACTATTTTTTAAATATAGCTGAGGGTTGATCAGCATACATATGTACCTGTCCATCAAACATCATATGTATAGCATCCCTTCCTTATATGAAATGGCTTTGCTAAGCAGTAATAATTTCCATAGAAGGTATTAAGATCACTAACTATGACGTACATTTGCCTCATAAAAGACCATGAGACATCGGACAAAGAGACTCTCACTCACACGCTACACGACACTCTTTCATACATAACACACACACACAGCTGTTCATAAGAACTTTCTGAGATGCTGGAACAGGTGCTGCAAGACAAGAGATCATCATTAACGTCACTTCCGTCTTCTCTCTCGGACTCTGTGTTGGACAAGGACATGAGAATCGCACATGGCAATGACAGCCATGACAGATAATGGTGACTTTGTTTTAAACGTTTGCTTGTCATTTTTACAGTAGTTTTATCTACCTGGAACTGTTCATAATACGCTTTACATTGTCTATTTTACACCATTGTGTGATAGAATAAAATCACACACTTCATTTTTTATTTCAATGGCTCTTTCATTCATAATCGCCTCAAGACACTAGAAGAAGTATTATATGTGTCTAAAAATCCAACAATGCACAAGCTGGGCCAACCACAGCCCAACTGTGTCATGTGATTAGCCGTGGCCAATCACAGCTAATCACAACAAAAAAAACCTGAATGAATCGACTGCATTCAGTTAAATGCTTGCTTATAGCAAAGAAATTCTTTGCTATAAGCAATCAAATTGTGTAAAAAAAAAAAAAAATACTGATCACTTCCCCAAAATAGTACAATGTCACTATGGTAACACTATACTACTTTGGTCATAGTGTAATATGAAACAAAAATCTTAAAAAAAAAAAGAAAAAATGTAATAAAAAAATAAAAAAAATAGAAAAAAGTATAAATTTTTTTTTTCGTACTGTCACCAGTCAGTGTCCCTGATCACCGCCACACCAGTTATATGATGACGCTGTACTGCATTGGTGACAGTATGTAAAAAAAAAAAATTGTGAAAATAATTTTTTACGTTTCTTAATTTTCCAAAAAATTATGACAAAAAAATTACAACTTCAAAAAACTTGCCATGCCTCTTATGAAATACGTCGGACTGTCTACTTTGCAAAAAGGGGTCATTTGGGGGATAGCTGTACTGTTCTGACATTCTTGGACCTCAAGAAATTCGATTGGCTGTCATTACTTCAGGATTGATCAATTTTCAGATATATCCCATAGTTTGTGAACTCTATAACTTTCCTACAGACTAAATAAAAAAATAGTGATTTGGGTTATTTTCACTAAAGAAATGTAGCAGAATACATCTTGGCCTAAATTTATGAAGAACAATTATTTATTTGCAAAACTTTTATAACAGATACAAAGAAAAACGTGGTTTTTTTTTTTTCAACATTTTCGGTCTTTTTTTGTTAATTTAGCAAAAAATAAAAACCCCAGTGTTGATTATTTTTTTTTTTTTTTTTTTTTAATTTAAATATTTATTAAATTTTTCATGTTAATACAAAAACCCAAAAAAAAGGGAAATAATTCTCATACAAATAGACATTTATATAACATTTCTACCTTTCCCTTACTAAAAAAACTCTTTTCTTTCCCATCCCACTACCCTCCCTTCCCACCCCTCACCCCCCCTCCTCCCCCTCTGCAGACTCTAAACCCATTCTACTCTCTTGAGGCTTATTAATTTTTTTTGCTAACACCCTAGTTCATATTTTCCTATATTTCTCACTTTCAATCCTGCTCTTTCCCCCCACTTTTTCCCATCTCCTAAAATAAACTCTCATCCTATCTTCCTGCATATGGTATGATCTTTCCATTCTACCTATCTGGTTTACTCTATTAATCCAGTCTTCCTCCTTCGGGTACCTCAGCTTTCTTCCGCCACAAAAACTTGGGTATCAACCCTTTCGCTCGCGTTCAAGAAGTACCAGATACCTGAATCTTTATATTTATTTACAGATGTCTCCACATTGTGTAGGAGACACGTCGTTGGGTCTAACCCTATGTCAATTTCAGTTATTTCTTTAATCAATTTGACTATTATCTTCCAAAAAGCCTGGATTTTCGGACATTCCCACCATATGTGAAACGCCGTGCCCATCTCCCACATCCTCTCCAACACATATTTGAATTTTTCCCCATTCATCTTGTGCTCTACACTCGGTGTAATGTGCCATCGTGTCACACACTTATAATTAACCTCAACCTCTCTCATACTGACATTATCGTGTATCAATCTAAACATCTTTCTCTTTGTCTATCTTCATCAAACCCAACTCCCGTATCTTCTTTCCCATTTGTGATAAAAGTTAACTTTGTGTTTGTGTCTAATTCTGTGAGTATTCTATACACTTTTGAAATACCGTGCTTCCCATCCCTTCGTGTCTCTTAACAACCTTTCAAACATATTCCACTCCTGTTTTATTCTAGGGGTTTCAGGTAGATTTTCCAATAAAACAATTTCAATTGATGATATTTTTCCGCTCATCTATTCTTTCTTTTTTAAAAATATCTCGCCTTCTTCTCTTCCTTTAAATCTTTAAGTGGTCTCAATTTCCCCTCCACCAAAAACATCTCTCATTTGGGTATCCTCCTTTCTTAATCCATCTCCTGATTTATCTTATTCTTTCCCGGGGGTAAGTAGACTCAGTATAATTTGTGAGAGCCCCATTAATATGGAATTAAATTCCCATTTCATGTTTTTGTGTAAATTGTCCCATACCCTAATGACATTTAAAGTGTAGATACTTGTGCTTTTCTTTCTTTAATTCCCCTGAACTGTGGTGGAACCCATATCATCTGGTTCAGTCTAATTCCCACTAAATCATTTTCAATTTTTACCCAACTTTTCCTCCCTTATGGTTATATTTCCAGCGTCCAAATATTCTTGCTAAAACCACTGCTTTTTAGTATCTTCTTGACATCTGGTAGACCCAATCCCCCTTTTTCATTTTTTAGTCCTACTCAATGTTTCATATGCTATTCTGGGTTTTTTATTCTTCCATATGTATCTTGTTAAACATTTTTTTCATTATCTTAAAGAAGCTTCTGGAAATTTACATAATTGGTACCATTTGAAATCTATACAGTATTTTGGGCATAATTAAACCATTTTGACTAGGTTATATACGTCCTATCCAGGTGGATTTCCTCTGCTATCTCCTTTTTAAATCTTGGCCTGATCTCATTATCAAAGAGATAAAGTTTTAATTCTTACAAATGCTTAGATTGGCAGTAAAGTTTTATTTCCTAGTATTTTATCTCTTTTTCTCTCCAATAAAAGGGGAATTCTTTTTGTAGTTTTTCTTTTTTCATTCTTTGATATATTAATATTCAGAATCTCTGTTTTTCGTTGGATTAATTTTTTAAAATTTGATTAGTTCACCTCGTACTCCTTCAGAATTTTCTTCATATATATTTGGGAGAGTTATACTCGGGGATTCCCCACATAGAACAATAAGTCGTCCGCAAAGGCCGCTACTCTATGTTCTATGGATTTCTATCTGAATTCCCTTTCAAAACCGATCCACTATTTCTTAATTATTGACAACAGAGGTTCGAGTGACAATACATATAGCTGGGGGGACAGTGGGCAGCCTTGTCTTGTAACCCATTAGACATTCCAATGGGTTCTGATCTCTCCCCATTTACCGTGATGATTGCAGTAGGCTCCCCTATATAGTTTTGCTACCACTATCCACTCTCGCATTCTATCACCTATCCCCAGCACTTTTTTAAGTTGTCCATCATAAAGCCCCAGTCCACTCTATCAAATTGCCTTCTCTGCATCAATTAAAGACAAAGCACCACCGGGGCTTTCCCTTTCTACTTTTCTGAATAAGCATCAGGGTTCTCAAGCCGTTATCTCTAACCTTCTCTCCCCGGTAACAAAGCCCACCTGGATTCTCCATGGATCCATTCAGGCATCAGATCCCTCACCTGTTTGCTAACACCTTTTGCATACAGTTTAGTTGTCAGTGTTCAATAATGAGATAGGTCTATAGCTGGAGCACTGAGATGGATCCTTTCCCATCCCTGTGAATAAGTACCACATGGGCCTGTAGGGATTCTCTCCTCACTTCCATCCCACCTCCCAGAGCACATTCATATATTTCTCCAGCTTGGGTAACAGTACTTCACTAAATTTCTTATAGTACTTAACTGTAATAGCCATCCGGGCCTGGGCTTTTCCCCCCCCCCTGTGCTTTTTAATGCTATTTTAATTTCTTCCTGGATATTTCTGCGTCTAGGGAGTTCAACTGTGCTTTCACTTAGTTTTGGTAATCCCGCACATTTTTTAAGTATGTCATCTTTTTTTTTATTAAATTCCCTCTTGAGCTTCTTTTTGAGGGCCTTGGGGACTAATCCGCCTTATATAACTTTTTTGTAATCTACCGTAAACACTTTAATAATCCTCTTTTATTTGAGTGGACCAACTCCCCTTTGAACTTTTTTATCTTTTTATATACTTGTGGCCAAAATTATTCAACCCCCAATGCTGTAAAGGGGTTTAGGGACCCGCGTATAGTGTACATTTGGAATTGTATTCAGAATCAAATCCTATCAAGGACGTTGTGGCAAACTACCCAAATGCAACTAAATTGACATCAATTGTTTATGTAAAGTTAACAGTAGTAAATGGTTCTTATGTGGTTTCCCTTCATGCCACAATTATTCAACCCCTCCTAAGACTACCACTTGAAGAACAGAGGTTTCATACAGGTGCATTTCCATCAGTAATTGAAAAACACCTGTGGATGTCACCGAAGCAGCAATCAAGCATAAATACAAAGCACCAATTAGGCAAGCATTTTAAAATGAACTGTGATATACTCGCTCCTTCTAGACATTTACTGTGTGGCCCCTACATTTACAAACATTTTGAAGGTCCAAGAGAATGGTCCAGGAAGACAATTAGAAGAGGTGATTTTCTCTTACAGGAAGGGCAATGCTATAAAGAAAGATGCAAAGATGTTAAACATACCAAGAGACACCTTAGGAAAGCATCATTCGCAAATTCAAAGGCAAAGGGCACTGTTGAAACGCTACCTGGTTCGTGGCTAGAAAGAAGATGCACTTCGACTGCTGTGCGCTAACCTGAAGCGTAGAGTGGAGAGAAGTCCGTTGTGACTTTGAGGAACTGAGCCTTTTTTTTTGTCAGATGTGGGTACAGAAAGTTTCAGCCCAGACAATATAACGCACACTGCGTAATGAAGGCTTCCGTGCCAGAACTCCCAGGCGTACCCCTTGCTGTCTCCAAAGAATAAGAAGAGTCGACTGCAGTATGCCAAAAGCCATGTGGACAAACCACAAAAGTTGTGGGATTAGTGTTCTGTGGACTGATGAAACAAAATTAGCAAACTCCGATCATTCTTGGGCCCATGGATCAACGCTCTTGTTTGGAGGAGGAAGAACAATGGGCCTATGATGAAAAGAACACCTTGCCTATGTGAAGCATGGTGGAGGGTCAATCATGCTTTGGGGCTGTTTTGCTTTGCAGGTACAGCGGGAAGCTTCAGCGTGTGCAAGGTACATGAATTCTCTTCACTGTTCAGATTACCAGGAGATATTGGATGGAAACGTGATGCAGTCCGTCACACACCTGAGGCTTGGGAGACGTTGGACCTTTTCAACAGGACAATGATCCCAAGCATACCTCCAAGTCCACTAGAGCATGGTTGCAGAGGAAAGGCTGGAACATTTTGGAGTGGCCATCGCAGTCACCAGACTTAAATCCGATTGAGACACTCTGGTGGGAACACACTTAAAGAAAGCAGTTGCAGTGCGCAAGCCTAAGAATGTGACTGAACTGGAGGCCTTTGCCCATGAAGAAATGGGGCGAAGATACCCGTTTAGATCGCGTTTTGCAAGACACTTGTGTCAAGCTATGCTTCACGTTTAAAAGCTGTATAAACTGTAAAAGGATGCTGTACTAAGTACTAAGATTTGAATGTCACTTGGGGGTTTGAATAAAACTGATAGTGCTGTGATACAGAAAAGACATTTGTGGTTTTTTCATTATAAACTGTTATGTTATATTTGTCTGACCTACAAGTGCCTCTTTAATGTAAATGTATAGCAAGATGACTGAATGATGAAAAGCAATGTCCAAACTGGCCAATACACTCAATTTTCAGTGGGGGTTGAATAATTTTGGCCACAACTGTAGTTCCTATTTTTTCTTTTTATTCAAAGCTCTCATTTATCTTCCTGGTCTTCTCTCCCCATGCTATATCTCTCATTCAAACCCTGTTGTATACTCTTCTCTTCTCCTCATCCATCAACCTCTCTAGCTCATCTTTTTATCCAATAGCTTCTGTCTCATATCTTTTGTTATTTTCTTCTTATGTATCTGCTCCAAGTCCAATATTTCTTTTAATAGCCCACTGACCCTCTCTCTTCTTTCCTTTTTCTTCCTTGCTCCTGCCGCAATCAAGATTCCCTCTTATGAATAACCTTATGGCTTTCCCAGACTGTAGCTATCGATACTTCCTCTGTTTCGTTCTCCTTAAAGTATACCTTAATCTCTTTCTCTATTTTCTGAAACTACATCCTCATCCAGAAGAAGAGCCTCATTTAACCTCCACCCCTAATCCTCCAGTCCACCTTCTTCCCCATCCCATTTTCATTACGACCGGAGCATGATCCGAGAACGTCCTTGTCTCTATGTCAATTTTAACCAGATGATCTATAAGTTGGTGGTCTATTAAGATGTAATCTAATCTCGAGTATATCTCATGTGCATTAGAGAAGAAGGTATAGTCTCTGTCTTTCATATGCGTTATTCTCCAGGTATCCACTAGTTGATATTCATGCATCACTTTTTTTCAGAGCTCTCAGAGACCTACTCCCCTCTCTTTGCACAGAAGAGGTATTATCCTTTTGTGGGTCCATACAGAAATTTAGGTCTCCAGCTACTATCAAACACCCTTTTTAAATTCCATTAATTTTTTCAACAGACCCTTCATATACATCTCGGGTTTTTTATTAGGGCAGTATATATTGGCTAAAGTACACTCAATCCCCTGAAGTCTACCTTTTAAGAATAAAAATCTCCCCTCCGGGTCGGTTCTTCTATCTTCCAGCTCAAATCTCATATTCTTTGCCAAACCTATTGCAACCCCTTTTGCTCTTTTAATTGGAGAATCTGCATAGTTACCATATTGGATAGTGTTTTGGATTTCAATTTCACGTTTGCCTCTATCTCAAAGTGCGTCTCCTGTAAAAATACCACTGACGTCGCCCTATGATGTAACTCATTAAACAGCCTAAATCTCTTCCCTGGACAACTCAGCCCGTTCACATATTATAGGTTATAAACTGTATTTCTTCCATCATTCCCAATTAACTCCATCTCTCATCCTAATTGCCTCTTCCTCTTTATCCCTTCTGTCATGCAGAGTATTAACCCAATACCTCCTCCCCTCCCACCCAACTCCCATCCCCTCCCCCCTCCCTCCAACCCTCCCAGCCCGCCCCCCCCCCCCCCCTTCCCCCAACCCTCGCCCTCTCTTCTTTTTCCCCTACCCATTTTTAGGCCTATAAACTGCCTACAAACCATTTGTGGATCCATTTCCACCATTGATTTAAGATTTGGGGCGTAAGCTCCGCCTATGTACGGCTCACCTCTCCTCCCACCCCCCCGATTCCCTCTCTCTATCATCAAGGCTCAGCGAGAATTTTTACCCTTTACCTCCCTCCCCTAACCGGAGCCTCCAAGCGGGTCTCAACATCCGGAGGGGGAAACCAGGGGTGAGAGAGGGAAGTAAGAGAGAGGAAAAAAAAAAAAAAAAAAAAATCATTTTCTACTTAATTCTCCCTCTCTTCCCTCCCCGACCCCGACCCCGAGGCCTCCCACCGACATGATGCCAGTCCTCTTTTCTTGTATCATTTGTATTTCTTTTGTCTTCTTTTTCTTCTTCCCACCCAGCTATCTCCATTTCTTTGCAAGTTCAGTCTATCACAAAAATCTTCTTATATCCTCCGGAAATCTCAAATACGCTGTGACCCCATTTTTCCAGCCAATTAGAGATACTGAGGTACCCCATCTATACTGCACATTCTGTTTTCTCATTTGCTCCAACAAGGGTTTCAGGGATCTCCTTCTCCTTAGGGTCTCTGCTGTTAAATCCGCATAGATTTGGATAGTCAAGTCTCCAGAGTTAATTAATGATCTCCCTTGGTCTTCTTCCAAATCTCATCCTTGACCCCTAAATTTTGGAACTGGACAATTATGTCTCTCGGTCTTTCCTTCTCAGTAGCTTGTTTAAACTTTCCTATTCTAAACACTCCGTCTAACTTGATCCCATCTGTTTCAGGTCTATCTCTTATGGAGTTTAGGGTTTTTTTAACTAATTCATATAGTATTCCCCCTTTAGCAGTCTCTGGGATTCCTCGTATTCTAAGATTACACCTTCTTTCTTTATTTTCTTGATCTTCCATCCTATAGATCATTTTTTTTCTGGTTATTTTCTAATTGGCTTATTTTTTCCCTTAGATTATCTATATTCTGGGCCTGGGTTTTAACTTTCTCCTCCATTTCTTCTATTCTTGATAGCAGATGTCCTAAGTCGTTTCGAATAGCTGTCATTTCATGTTTTATCATTTTTTCCAAATTTTTAAACATTTCTATCATCTCCTTCTTATTTGGTATTTGTAGTTCACTGTCAGATTCTTTTTTTCCCAAGCCATCCACTGTTTTTGTTGGCCGCCACTGCTATTCATGCCCAATGATAATCTAGGGCTAGTTCCTGAACTAATGTCCATTTCTCCCTTTGCGCCTTGGGCCCTTTCTGGCGTAGTAATTCCATATGATGTAAGTTTCTTTATTGTTCCTGTTTGGGACCCTTTGGGCCCTGCTCCCTTGGGACCTTTGTTCTTCATATCCTCTATATAACTTAATAGACTTGCAATTTTTCCTCTATCCTTTACCCTCTTGGGACACCTGGGTCTCCTCTCTTCTTTTCTTCTACCCCCTGGGAATCCACCCCTCCTTCCCCCCTTGATCGCCTGTGTCGCTCAGGGGTCCACACCACAATAGGCCCCCAACAGCTTTCACTCACCCTTCCCTTCACCGACGGAGAGTCAAGACTTGTTTGGAGGGCCTTCTCTGCTGCTCAGTCCTGGGGGGGGGGGGATTCCTCAGGGATTCAGGCTCAAACAGTCGGCCAGGAGGTACAAACAGCCACGAGCCGGCATCCCCCTGTCACATCAGATCAGCCACCCTCTAGCCGCACGAATTTCCAGCCTTGTAGGGCAGGGGAAGCCGGCGTGTCACTGCCTCCCTGTCAGGAAACCGGCCGGCGTCTCCACTTCCCAGTACTCCTTTGCGGCGAGCGGCGTGCTCACTCCGCCCTGCATCGATTCCCCGGCAACCCGACAGCTGCACTGGGATCTCTGCAGCGTGTTCACCTCCCGGAGGTCCGTGCCCGCTCTCCACTCCCTTCACCGCGCCAGCCTCTCCTCCCTTGGAACCCACCTCAGTCAGGTAGGGCTTCGCACCATGAGGGTCTCGGGATGGTAAGTTTGGAGGTTTACCGGAGAGCACTCACATCGTGCTCTCCGTCGCCGCCATGTTTAGGCTCCACCCTCCAAACCAGTAAGTTCTCATCTGGTTCCACCCCAGTGTTGATTAAATACCACCAAAAGAAAGCTCTAGTTGTGTGAACAAAATGATGAACCTGAAAATTGGCCTGGGCAGGAAGGGGGTAAAAGTGCCCAGTATTGAAGTGGTTAATAACACAAAAACGATAAAAGATCGAACAGAGATTTAAACAGCACAAACGCGGCACTAACCAACCAGCCTGGTTTCATGTCTTTTGGCTGTTGTAGGGGAGATGGGTGATATTATCTGGAAAAAGCAATTGCTAATATCTTAAAAATAAAAGAAGCACAAATAAAAGTTTGTATGGCACAAAACAGCACAAACACAGCACTAAAGGAACACATTGGAGTTTTTATTTGTGCTGATTGTTGGGGGGGGGGGGGGGGGGGGGGGGGCAGCTTCTCTGAGCTCACATAGACACCTAATTTGTGGTACTTACCTCACACATTTACCTAATTTGTGGTATTCACCTCACACATTTACCTAATTTGTGGCACTTACCTCACACATTTACCTAATTTGTGGTATTTACTTTACACGTATTCCAAATTTGTGTTATTTACCTTATAAATTTACCTAATTTGTGGTATTTACTTAATATATTTACCTAATTTGCTGCAAATTCAATATCTTACTTCTTTATTATCGCACGCATTATTTAAAAAAAAAAAACACATATTAAATGGGAAACCGGTTAGTGAATTGACGCCAAAGTTGTCTGTCACAGCCTGGTAACTACAGCTCCACTCACCCTCAACAAAGAGCACTCCTAACAGGAACAGCAGGAATACATTTGCCAGGAGCAAAGATGGCTCCCTCTGTTCTGTGTTTCCACAGCCAGACATTCTTCCTGGTCAGGTGATGTGAAGGGGGAGTGTCTTCTTGATGACAGCTTTGCAGGGAAGTGAAGAGTTCTGGCTGAGGTACTGATAATATGACAAACAAGGGACAGGCCGCACTTTATTAATCCTGGGACTGTCACTTTAACTGATGTATTTTGTATCATTGATTGTTTGTGCTGTAGAAGAACTTGTAGTGATGAGCTGATGTGTACAAGCAGCTTGTGTGACTACAAGTGTAAATGTGAATGCAGTTGGAGTGATGTTTTGCTTTATCAATGTGCACTGTTTGGGCATGCATGCTGGGGTCACATAGGGAGGAGGCAGGGGAGAGTGAGGACATCCAAAGCATTGCTCTTATTTATGTACTGATAGAAATATGAAGGCGGCCATTGCTGACCAGCTTCTGAAAAATGTCACTTGCTTGGCTGTCTCTGCTTCCACCATCAGCTATGCAGATTGGAAAGTCACAGCTCCATCTACATCAGTGAGTACTGAAGCCAGGCAATGAGCGCTTTCAGAGATGTCAGCAATGACCGGTTCACACAGCACGGCTTTGCAGTAAAGTAAACCTTTCAGGTGGGACATGCTTGTGCTGAACTCCTCCTGTAAATACTAGTTGCCTGGCTGTTTAGATGACTCACTGGCTTTTAAAGAGTAGCTTCATGTTTGGTGGAGAGAAAAACCTTGCCCTCTGGATGATTACCCACTTGCCCACCTGAGGATTTACCTCCCTTCCTGACCAGGCCATTTTTTTACGTTACAGAGCTGCGTTACTTTAAGTGACAATTGCGCGGTCATGCAATGCTGCACCCAAATGAAATTTATGTCTTTTTTTCCCCACACATATTGCTTTCTTTCGGTGATATTTGATCACCTGTGTGTTTCTTATTTTTTTGTGCTGTAAACAAAAAAAGACCAACAATTTTGAAAAAAAAAAAACCAACAATATTTTTGACATTTTGCTTTTAACCACTTACCTTCCGGACACTTATATATATATATATATATATATATATATATATATATATATATATATATATATATATATATATAATGTAAGAAAAATGAATCCTGTGTTATGGTATCTAAGCCAATATAATATGTAGCTGCCAGCACCAAAATAATATCCCAAAAGTATATATTGTATAACCGTAGATGCGCCGCTACTAAACATCTCTTCCCGACTGAAATTGAGCCTGGGTTCCAACTTCTGCAGTGTGGCATATCTTATGAGATTTTCACAGGAACCACACCACATTCTTGTGCAAATCACATGTGAATTCTGTGCGGTGTGATTTGAGCCATACATTTTGTATGGCTCAAATAGCACTGCATCCACACCAAAAAGTGCAGGACCCATTTTTTTTGTCCACACTAGAATCAGATCCATGGGTATTCACACCTATGCAGTCGAATTCTACACATCGCACCGCCTGTTTGCGAACTGATTTCATTGTGTTGTTAACATACACACCTGCAGCGGTTCGCACAGGGTGCGATTCTGATGCCGTGCGAAATTCGCACAGAAACCGCTGCAAATTCCGCACCGTATCAGTGTGAACCCAGGCTAAGATTGGTGTTATGTGTGCAAAGACTATGTAAAACAAACCAAAAGCAAAAAACAATTACAGTGCAAATACCACAATGTGCAAAAATGTGCAAGGGTACTGTAATACCCCTCCCTCCTATTGCCAGTGCTAATATATTTGTAAACATGTCAGTATAGTGCTATTGCAGCTAAATACCATTATTCCAATCAATACAAAAACAATGCAGACAACAGGACACGAATTGTTTGTATGGCACTATAATGCACCTCCTCCCAACACATAATAAATATGTAGATGCATAAAGTGCTGAGTGATAACAAAGGTGATGCTTTCAGTGATTAAAGTGCTCTTCTAAAACAAAGTGCTTTTTCTGTAATAAAGTGCAATAATCAAGCCAGTGTCCATGTTTCCATGCTCCCCTTTGCACACCACACTCACCAACTCTACATGACCCCTTATTAGTTAAGCGGGTCTAATATCGCTCAAGGATCTCTTGGCCAGGTCTCCTCTTATGACTGTACATGGGTGTCACTCTTCCTCCAGCAGACCATCGGTAGAGTGCATGGAACAAACCAAAGGGATACTCCAAATGGTGTATTACAACCTTTATTTAAATATGATTAAAAACACTTACAGCAAAGGATGCATGTTAGTACAAGCTAGACATGCATAATAGTGCATCTGGGATGCTTCTGCGTTCCACGGGCCACAAGCAAGCAAACCGGAAGTGACATAGGTGATGCAGGAAGGGTCCACCTTGTTTCACCCTAGGTTCACACCTATGCGCTTTCCGCAGCGTTTTGCAGAAATGCACTGCAGTCTATTTACAAAATCTCCTGTGGGACATCTTCACGTTTTCACCCAGTGCGTTTTTTGGAAAAAGTCATCATATAACTGGCATGGTGGTGATCAGGGTCACTGACTGGTGACAGTATGGAAAAAAAAAAAAATATATATATTTTTTTAAATATTTTTTATTAAATTTTTTTTCTTTTTTTTAAGATTTTTTTTTCATATTTCATTATGACCAAAGTAGTACAATGTTACCATTTTAACATTGTACTACTTTGGGGAAGTGATCAGTATTTTTTTCAATTTTTACACAATTTGCTTATAGCAAAGAATTACTTTGCTATAAGCAAGCATTTACCTGAATGACATCGATTCATTCAGGGTTTTTTGTTTTTGTTTTGTGCTTAGCTGTGATTTGGCCACAGATAATCACGTGACATGTGCATGTGATTAGCTGTGACCATTCACAGCTAGACACTAGTATACAATGGATGGCATGAATGAAGCCATCCATTGTATACAACTGTCATGTGACCTGCTGTGATTGGTCACAGCAGGTCACATGGTACCGGCAACAGGGGCCGATATTCAGATCTGTGTCATCGGCCGTGTCCAAGGTACACGGCCGGTGACAGATCGCGCGGCTCTGCAGGAGCGCAATCTGCGCATGTGCGGGAGGACGCCATATGGCGTCCACCCGGAACGCTGATGACATTTGCCAGCCGCCATTCGGCCATAGGGCGGGCGGCAAATGGTTAAAGGAGATGTACAGCACTGTACTGTACTTCTGCTGTGGATCACAGGAGAAGAACAAACTGCACTCCTATGACACGCTTTCAGCTGACAGTGGGCTGAAGCCTGAGTCTGGAGCGGCACCTGGCTCAGCCTCTCTGTGATCTGCTGAGAGCCTGAGCCAGCCGCTCCCTCCCCCCTCCACGGCCCAGCACTGGACCACAGGTGGGAGATGGGGGCAGAGCAGAGAGTGGCGACTGACAGTAATGATGACTGATGTGTGACAGCAGTTGTGTGATCGGTGAGTTTTCACACTTAGAGCCAGCGGGGAATAGATGCAGCATCACACCGATACTGCATCCACCTAGGTAAGTACTGTATGATTAAAGAAAAAAAAAAATCCCACACTTCTCTTTTAAACCTCATTCTTTCAACTCTATAGGAGACAAGTCCTTTTGTAGCATACAGCCTAATCCCTCTATGCTATGACTGTTCTATGCAGGTTAGTAGCTGGGGGTGGGGTGGGAGGATGCTTTTACCTGGATTATCAGTTCCTCTGTGATACCACCTCACTTTTTGTGTTTCTTACTGCCAGTTTCTGCAAAACAAATTTGTGCTTGCTGTTTTGAGTCACATGTTTTTATCTCCTTGTAATCAGACAATGCCAAGAAGGTGAGGGGCATCTTTTAGGTGAGATTTTCTTTCAGGTGTTTGGGAGGCTGATTAATGCCATTGCCCTTAAATCCCTCCAGATCTGCATTCACCATGCACACCCTAAGGTGGGTCTGTCCCCTCATGCCTTGGCAGGCAAAGCCCTGTATGAATTCTGCTTTGTTCAAGCAGCCAGCAAGGAAGGTGATGATGATCAACAGGTTGTCACACGCATTAACCACTTGCCCTCCAGAGGATTTACCCCCATCCTGGCCAGGCCATTTTTTTGTGTTACAGCTCTGCGTTACTTTAACTGACAATTGCACGGTCATGCAACGCTGCACCCAAATGAAATTTACGTATTTTTTTCCCTACAAATAGAGTTATCTTTCTGTGGTATTTGATCAGCCATGCGGTTTTATCCTTTGCGCTATAAACAAAAAAAAACGACAATTTTAAGAAAAAAAAAAAACGATATTTTTGACTTTTTGCTATTAAACATGTCCAGTAAAAAAAATTTAAAAAATCAAATTTCATCATAAATTTAGGCCAAAATGTATTCTGTTACATGTCTTTTCTAGAAAAAAATACCAATACGTGTAAATTAATTGGTTTATGTGAAAGTTATAGCGTTTACAAATGGGGGTATAGATACTGGAATTGTTTTTAACTAGTAATGACGGAGATCAGTGGCTTATAGCGGGGACTGGGCAGCACAGTGGCTAAATGGGCTGCCACTGGTTAGCACTTCTGCCTGGCAGTACTAGGGTCGTTGGTTCGAATCCCAGCCATGGCAACTCCTGCCTGGAGTTTGGATGTTCTCCATGTGCCTGTGTGGGTTTCCTCCCACACTCCAAAGACATGCTGGTAGGTGAACTGGCTCCTGTCTAAATTGGCCCTAGTATATGTATGACTGTGAGTTAGGGACCTTAGATTGTACGCCCCTTGAGGGTTAGGGACTGATATGAATGTACCATATATATGTAAACGCTGCGTAAATTGATGGCGCTATATAAGTACCTGAAATAAATAAACTGTGGCAGGCATTCTGACACTGGGGGGAACTGACTTGATGCTCTCCCCTGATATATATGTGATTTTTCGCACGCACCCCCTGCTGCCCTGTAGCAGTATTTCTGCTATAGAGTGGAGGGGGAAGCGGTTACGAAAGTAGCCAAGATGTTCTAAATGAGTTTTTCCCCTCACCCTCTGTGCATGGCTCATCTACTTTGGCAATGTCCAGTTTTTTCCTTCTGGAACCAGTCAGTTGATCTCAGATCATTCTCAGGTCAACTAACCCACTTCAAAGACATTTCCTTTGAGGAAAATGTGAACGAGGATATTTTATAGGCAAGTTTTTAATTCTGAACCTCCCTTTAGAAGACTGTTAGGATACCTAAAATGGAAGATCCTGCAGCATTACCCACAAAGTAGGACAAATGTTTCTAACACACATCCAGAAAGATATGTGGCAATTTGTCTATGTTGCCATAATAAGAAATTTATTCCAGAACGGTGAAGCAGAATTGAGCAAAAGGACAGAGCACCACAGTGCCTTAGTGGTTAGTATTTCTGCCTTGCAGCACTAGGTTCTTCAATTCAAATTCCCACCAGGATACCTCTATCCTGTAGGGATAAAATAGACCCCAGAATTTAGGAGGTGTAACAGCGCTTGCATAAACCCAAATGATCCAGGATGCATCATAGATTGATTTCTACTCCCAAAGATTTCTCAGCCAGGTTTAGTCAAACAATGCCCATCATAGAGGAAAATCAGAGAGACTCCATAGTGTAATTAAAACACTGGCATTGTATTATAAAGAAAGGTACTCACAAATAATGTTATGGCAGCACAGTGGCTAAATGGTTAGCACTTCTGCCTGGCAGTACTAGGGTTGCTGGTTCAAATCCCAACCCCGGCACCACCTGCCTGAAGTTTGCATGTTCTCCCTGTGACTGCGTGGGTTTCCTCCAGATACTCCGGTTTCCTCCCACACTCAAAGACATGCTGGGAGGTTAATTGGCTCCTGTCTAAATTGGCCCTAGTATGTGTATGTATGAATGTGAGTTAGGGACTTTAGATTATACGCTCCTTGAGGGTTAGGGACTGATGTGAATGTACAATATATGTATGTAGAGCACTGCGTAAAATGATGGTGCTATATAAGTACCTGAAATAAATAAATAAATAATGGAGACAAGCAAGGAAGACAAGCCCTGCTCTGCAGAGCGAGTGTGATGACATCAACGCTAGCAAGTCTAGTGTTATCTATACTCCTGGAATTTTGTGTACTATCATAGTTTGTGACAGGATTTGAGAAAAGCTTGTTCAGTTTAGACTGCTTTGACTTCTTATGCTTCAGTTACATAGTTAGTCTGACTGAAAAAAGACAAAAGTCCATCCAGTTCAACCAAAACAAAAAAAATAAGTTATAATCCTATACCCACAGTTGATCCAGAGGAAGGCAAAAAAACCCAGCAAAGCATGAAACAGTTTGCTCCTGCAGGGGAAAAAAATTCCGTCCTAATCCCCTGAGAGGCAATCAGATATTCCCTGGGTCAACTTTACCTATAAATGTTAGTATCCAGTTATATTCTGTGTATCCAAGAAAGAATCCAGGACTTTTTTTTTAAGCAATATACTGAGCTGGCCAGAACCAACTCTTGCGGGAGTTTAATTATAGACCTGTTAGTTTAACTTCTATAGTTGGGAAGATACTGGAGAGTTTAATAAAAGACCACATAGATGAGTTCTTGCTGGAAAAAAATATTTTAAGCAACAGACAGAATGGATTCATGAAAGACAGGAGTTGTCAAACAAATCTGATTTCTTTTTATGAGGAGGTGAGCAAAACCTTGGACAGAGGGGTGGCGGTGGACGTGGTATACTTGGATTTTGCAAAAGCATTTGACACAGTTCCCCACACACGGCTAATGTGTAAGGTAAAATCTACGGGCTTGGAAAAACCATATGTAAATGGATAGAAAACTGGCTAAAAGATCGTATTCAAAGAGTAGTGGTTAATGATTCATGCTCTGAATGGTCTAGGGTTGTCAGTGGTGTACCCCAAGGTTCAGTGTTTGGACCCTTGCTTTTTAGAATATTTATAAATGATACAACCGACCTCAATGCACTGTTTAATTGGGCAACTATGTGGCAAATGAGGTTTAATGTTGATAAATATAAGGTTCTGCACTTGGGGGCTAAGAATATGCATGCATCATACATACTGGGGGGTACAACGGGGGGAATCAATGGTGGAGAAAGATCTGGGAGTACGGGTAGATCACAAGCTTAATAATGGCATGCAATGCCAAGCTGCGGTTTCTAAAGTGCGCAAAATCCTCTCTTGTATTAAAAGAGGTATAGACTCCAGAGAGAGATATCATATTACCCCGGTACAAATCATTAGTAACACCTCATCTGGAATATGCAGTTCAGTTTTGGGCACCAATTCACGAAAATAACATTGGGGAACTGGAGAAAAGTGCAGAGAATGGCAACCAAACTGATAAGAGGCATGGAGGAGCTCAGCTATGAGGAAAGATTAGAGGAACTGAATTTATTCTCTCTTGAGAAGAGGAGATTAAGGGGGGATATGATCAACATGTATAAATACATCAGTGGTTCATATAGTGAACGCGGTGTAGAGCTATTCACCCTGAGGTCATCAGAGAGGACAAAGGGGCACTCTTTACATCTGGAGGAAAAGAGATTTAATCTCCAAATGCGTAAAGGTTTCTTCACAGTAAGAGCTGTGAAAATGTGGAATAGATTCCCTCAAGAGTTGGTTCTAGCCAGCTCAGTGGATTGCTTTAAAAAAGGCCTGGATTCTTTCTTGGATACACAGAATATAACTTCTTACTAACATTTGTAGGTAAAGTTGATCCAGGGAATATCCGATTGCTTCTCGGGGGATCATGAAGGAATTTTTTCCCCTGTAGGAGCAAATTGGATCATAGTTTGGTGGGTTTTTTTGCCTTCCTCTGGATCAACTGTGGGTATAGGATTATAACTTTTTTTTATGGTTGAACTGGATGGACTTTTGTTTTTTTTTCAGCCAGACTAACTATGTAATTAATGCATGGCATAATGCAGTGTACCAGGACAGACCAGTGTGAATGGGCCCTTATGAATGAAAAACATCTCTCATAATAATATTCACCTGCAGAAAAGACTGTTTTTATATTCTGTCTGCATGAACAATAAAATTGTTTAATAATGACAGCTTCACAGACCAAACATTCTACTTTCACACAGGTTGTCTATCTTCTCTGGAGAGGTAGTAATGATTTCCTTTTATGTTTATGTTTCTGAAGGATGATTTCTCAGGTAATTTTTACCCTTCTCCTTGGTGCCGGAGTGATCTTCCTTCTTTTCACCCTATGGAAGAGCAGCAGAGTGAGACAATGGACTACTGGGCTGGTACGGAGGCGGTTTCTCAATGGCCTATACAAGAAGAATCACGAGAAGATGTTAAATTATGACACAAGTAATGCCCAGGCTGTACAAGAATCGTTGCTTTCGGAAATACTGAAGAAACAGCAAAATACAGAATATGGTCAGAAACACAATTTCAAAGACCTAATAGGTAAAACAATGATAATTATTCATTTTCATTACTCAGTTATAAGATCAGAAGTGATTCTGGCTGTATTCCACTAACATGACTCTATTTTGGTCAGCTTTATAATAAGCACTACAATCCAGCTCCTTACCATTGCATAGAAATTTTTGAAGAAAATGACAGGGCCTAGGTAACCACTTTACTGAACCCAAGACCATGCAAGGCTTGAACCTGGGTGCTTTGGGAAACACAATGAGGAACAGCACAGTCTTAAAAGTGAAGCATGGGTTAAATTTTTTTTGCATAATCTGAATCCTGGTGAGCTGCTACTATGAAAAATGATTTTCTGCCCTATGAAATGAACACACTTTCTTCTGAAATCAAATCAAATACCTGTGGGAGGGGCTGAGGTTTCTCATAAAGCATGATCCCAACATTGAAGTCGGTATCCACCCCCCTCTTATGACTGACTTCAGCTCTTGACAGTCTGTATGTTCCTGAGAAGTCAACAGATCTTCAGCTCTTCTCACACTCCCCCCCTCTCACCCCTCCCATCCAGGCTGTTGAGTTTCTTCACACACAGGCAGCTTCTCTCCCCCTACTCCCCCCTCCCATCCAGGTCCTTCTGAGTCCCAGTTTCACTTACAAACATGCAGCTGCTTTCTCCCTCCTCCTTCCCCCTCCCATCCAGGCTGAGCTCTCACTGCCAGACTTTCTCAGTTCTCTCTCTGCAGAGTGAAGCAGAGAAGAAGCTGAAGAACATTTCTTCATTCTTTTCTTGTACAGCCCAGTCTCCTGGAGTTGCAAATCCCTCAGAATACTGTTATGTGCCTCTGTTTCTTGCTGACAGTGTGAAGTCATGGAAACAGAAGCACATGACAGGCAGGCACATTCCAGCTTGTGTCTCTGTGAGGAAAGCATGGTCAAAGCTGAGAGCTGAAGGAGGAGAGGGTGAGGGGCGGCTCACTTCAGATGTAACCACCCATTATAAACTTTCAAACTCGAAGAAGACCATTACTCAGCCCTAACCAGGGCTTGGAATGGGGATACAGCAAAAATGGAGCAACATAGGAAGGAAAGAAAAGCTGTTCTGTGGTAAGGGTAGGTAATGCAATCTATTTTTACTATCCCATACTTCTCCTTTAAATGGGGGTGTGTGGTTCTGTGTGTGTAGGGATGCCACTTCTTATCTTGATTGGATGGTGGTGGGGATAGTTCTTACATTCTGCACACTTCCCAACTTCTCCAGATCCCATGGTACTGTTCTTGGATTTCAACTAAATCTTGGGGTTCTATGAGCCCCAGCCATGTTCTGTTGCCAGCTGCTAGAAAACACCAGTTCAAGCACCAAGCAAACGTGATCTGATGCCTCCAGGAATACCTGCCCTCAATTTATCCATTGCTTTATATGCTCCAGCATGCAGGCTCTTATGGGCTAAAGTTGGGACAGCACTATACAGAGGAACCTTGATGAGGCAGTGTGTTTTCCACATAAAATTGCAAATGTGCAACTAAAGCTTCTGTTTTTCACCTAAAAGTGAATGTATTGCTCATCTGTCCTCCGCCAACATATTTGGTTGTTTTTTTTTTTCTTTCTGGGAATTTGTGGCAGAGGCTCTAGAGAATAAAACAGTGGGTATTGAAATTTTTTACGTCACACAGTATTTGCTGAGCAATTTTTCAAATGCCAATGTTTTCTAGACTTTGAATGCACAAAAACACAATATATTGTCCAATTGTTTGATGTTATATAAAAGATGATATTACACTGAGTAAATGGATACAAACAAATGACATGCTTTAAAATTGCGCATGCCCATGCAATGGCGACAAAATATATAGGAAAACAGAAGATAAGTGAGCGCTTATGTGATAATATATAATAAGCAGCAGCTGTACACCCAAAAGGCACCGTATCAAACCTTCAATAGCATATATGTGAACAGGGAGGTGCAGCGCTGTATAACCAAACAAATAATAATTACACAATAGTGAACAGTGACTGTAAATTAGTAATGCCACTATATGGTGGCTCTAGGTGAAGAGAGTGAAAAACAGTCCAGTGAAGGAGTGCTCTTAAGATCCAGGGTGATCTTCATACGTCCAATATACAGGACCATCGGGTGATAAAATATAAAGACTGCGCACTCACCAGATACGCAATCTTTATGCGCATTTGTGTAAAATTATCACTAGACCTCCTGTATCATCATCCTGGTCTGGTCAGATCTGGTCAGCATATCCCTCATGGCCCGGTAACTGGATGGATGCAGCTGTTCCGTAGACTTGGTCGGTTCTCACCAGAACTCAAATAAATAGAAAGGGCCACATAGTGTAATATCCTCAGGTATCTTTATTGAAGGCACAGGATAGCAGAAAATCCAACTTACAAAAAATACTGACCCAGGTATGAATCAAAGATGGCCGCCGGGGCCCCGAAGGGATAGCTACAGCAGGTTGGACGCTTCACCGCCGGCGCCACGAGGGGCCCCGGCGGCCATCTTTGATTCATACCTGGGTCAGTATTTTTTGTAAGTTGGATTTTCTGCTATCCTGTGCCTTCAATAAAGATACCTGAGGATATTACACTAAGTGGCCCTTTCTATTTATTTGAGTTCTGGTGAGAACCGACCAAGTCTACGGAACAGCTGCATCCATCCAGTTACCGGGCCATGAGGGATATGCTGACCAGATCTGACCAGACCAGGATGATGATACAGGAGGTCTAGTGATAATTTTACACAAATGCGCATAAAGATTGCGTATCTGGTGAGTGCGCAGTCTTTATATTTTATCACCCGATGGTCCTGTATATTGGACGTATGAAGATCACCCTGGATCTTAAGAGCACTCCTTCACTGGACTGTTTTTCACTCTCTTCACCTAGAGCCACCATATAGTGGCATTACTAATTTACAGTCACTGTTCACTATTGTGTAATTATTATTTGTTTGGTTATACAGCGCTGCACCTCCCTGTTCACATATAGACAAAATATATACATTTTTAATATCGATAAGCAACACTTTAAAAGCCTTTACAGGTCCCCAGTTTATGTTTACACAGGAGGACTAGTGCTAGAATTACTGCCCTCGATCTGACGTTCGTGGTGCTACTTCACATGCATGGTGCAAGCTCTGTTTACATACTGACACGGGACCAATGCTTGCGTTCACCTTTGGGCAAGAACACTGGAAGAGGGAGGGGCAGGGGTGATTTTTTTTTTTTTTTAAACTATCCCTTTCTTTCTTTTTTTTATTATTATCTGTTATTATTAATTTTCCTTTATATAAAAAATTTGACAACATATATAACAAAAAACATAAATATCAACATTATTATTCAAACACATCCCCACTTCTTCCCCCCCAAAAAAACTACCCTCCCCCTAGAAAACCCCTTGTCCATAGCAATCTTATACTTCTCTTTCCCCTCCTGTAAACCAATTTTATTTCTCTAAATTCCTTTAAACCATTTTAATTCCTCATCTCTACTATTGTATCACCTCTTATTTGTAAATATCTTTTTGATGTTTTAAATTCACGCCACTTTCTCCAAATTTCCTTAAATACTTCCCCTTTATCTTCTTCAATATAACACAACTCCTCCATCTTATAAATATACTCAATTCTATTCATCCAGTCTTTCATTGATGGGGACTCTTGGGCCTGCCACAATTTAGGGATTAGACTTTTTGCTGCACCAAGCAAATGGTATATTATATTGTTTGTTTTACTGACATCTCTGTTTTATAAAAGAGACATACCCATGGGTCTTTCTGAATTTGGGTTCCCTCAATCTCCTGTATATTTTGAATTATTTCTTGCCAAAATACATGAATTTTTGGACATTCCCATCAAATATGTGACATACTTATTCCCCCACCTTTCTTTCTTTTTTTATCACTTTTATTGTTTTCATAGGGAATGTAAATATCCCCTGAGATAGCAATAGGCAGTGACAGGTATTCTTTTCTGAGAAATCTGGGGTCTATTAGACTCTAGATATCTCCTCTGCCCTTAAAGCATCTGATCACACCAAGATTGGTGTGATCAGATGCTTTCCCAATTTAAAAATGATGCTCTTAAAGTCTGTCAAAACGGAAATTATTAAATACTTGTAGCTTCTGGTCTCTTCGACCATAGAGATGATTGGAGCCATTCTGGTCTCTGATCAGCTCTATGGTCAGCCAGCGGAACTGCTGGCTGCATTCTCGGATTCCCCTGTGGGACAGGAGAGCCCAAGAAAACTGTGGAAGGCAGCAGGAGGAGGGGAATGTCCCTTTCCGCCGCTTGTAAAAATGATCCAGCAGCTAGTTGGCCAATAGGATTTTTTTTACATGAAAACTGACCACCAGCTGAAAAAAACGATACCAGGATGATGCCTGTAGTTGGCAAGAGCTGAATTTGGGTGGGCGGCGTTGTATTGTGCGTATCAATTGCTTTGGCCCATAAGTAATTGACAGCAATATTTCTTCTTTATCTCCTTCAACTGACACCAGTGTGTTTTGGTTTACCCACTAATAGCTAAACATTTTAATTCACCCATTGACCCCCAACACTAGAGCATTCGTTCTGCAGCTAACAATCTTTAGAACATTCTTCTTCCCATGGACACTGATGCCACGCATTTTATTATCACAGTAACCACAGATAGCAGATGATCAGTAGCATCTGTATTTCTCTCAGCAGGGGTTTCCTTAACCACTTGGCGTCCGGCTGCTGTATATAAACGCCGGAGGGTGGCAGTCTAGAGGCGGGTTGCCGTTCATAAATGGCGCCTGCCATTCTGGACTCTGCGCGCTCCCTGGAAGCGCGCAGCACCGCCATCCGGTGCCCGCTGTGTCCTCTGGACACAGTGAAACACCGATCGTCGTATGGGACCTCTGTGCGAGGTCCCGATCATGTGATCACTGATTGGCCAATCAGTGATCACATGCAGAGTAGTAAGCAAGATGTCACTTCTGACATTGCTAACTACGTGTGAAATCTGTGAATGATCACAGAGGTCACATGGTACAAGGCTATTCACAACAGTTCCCACAGTAGTTCTCAATGGCTGCAAGAATGCAGCCAGAGAGAATGAGAAATGATTTATTTTACAGCCGTTATGGGTGTAAAAGCAATCAGTGTAGAAAAAAAAAAATCTTCATCAATTTAAAACAAATTAATTTTTGGTTATAAACTAGTTTGGGTTATTTTTTTTTACTAAAAAGATAACTGAATAAATTTTGGCCAAGATTTATGATGAAATATTATTTATTTGCAAAATTTTATAAGAAAACTGTTTTTTTTCTAAATTTTTGGACTTTTTCATTTATTTAGCAAAAAAAAATAAAAATCCCAATGGTGAATAAATACCACCAAAATAAAGCTTTATTTGTCTCAAAACAATGCTAAAAAATTCATATGGGTACAGTGTTGCATGACCGCGCAGTTGTCATGCAAAGTGTGATAGGGAGGGGGTAAAAGTGTCCGGACTTGAAGTGGTTAAAAAGTAACAATGTTGATAGCTGAGAGGCAGTGCTGACACAAAGCATAACACATTTAGGACCCTGCCACATTACGCATCATCGTGATGGTGAAACTATTCAACTCCTATGGCCCTACTGATTTACGGTTTGCTCTAGCGAGCAAGGTTCTGCCATGTTTTAGCCAGCAAGGGAGCAATCCTCATTCGAGAAGGAATTAGTTGCAACTCATCAGTGACAAAATCACCAGAAAAACATGGCCATAAGAGACTAACATATTTATTGTTTTCTAATCCACAGATGTGTCCTCATTTCAGAAGCTCCATCCCCTTACTCAGTACAGTGACTATAAAGACTTTATCCGGCGCACCAGAGCGGGAGAAGAGAACATACTACTAAATGGAAGACCTCATGCTCTGATAACCACCACTACAGGAACACTGACAAACCCTTCACTGATCCCAATCAGTGCTAAGAGCACCAAAGAACTCTCCCTTCAGGTATCTGAACCTAAAATAAATGCACACTGGAATCATATTGTGATATCTATTCTAGCAGTTAGGGTTGTTTTACTTTCAAAATTTCTATAATACATTCTGGGGAATTCAATAAAGCATTAACGTCACTTTTCTGTTTGTATTTTAGAACTACCCGCACTCAATTCAGGGAAGCATTTATGTCAGATTTGGTATCATTACTGACACGTGCCAAAGTCAGTTAGTTCTGACTACCTCCACTTTAACCACCTGCAATTATGGCAGCAATAGTTTCTTAAAGAATTGCCACCAATTCACAGTCTTGGAAATTGGTAGTGATTAAGACCCTCTTTGAGCTGGCATACAGAGGTACTCCAGTGCTCAGAGTGGCACATGTCTGTGCTGGGAAGCTGTAATGTACCGTATTTGCCGGCGTATAAGACGACTGGGCGTATAAGACGACCCCCTACTTTTCCTGCTAAAATGTAGTGTTTGGGCTATACTCGCCGTATAAGACTACCCCTCTTCCAATGCACACCAGTGGGAGGAATAGTGCCCCATCATTGATGTCAGTGGGAGGAATAGTGCCCCATCATTGGTATTAGTGGCAGGAATAGTGCCCCATCATTGGCATTAGTGGCAGGAATAGTGCCCTATCATTAGTATCAGTGGAGGAATAGTGCTCCATCATTGGTGTCAGTGGGAGGAACAGTGCCCCATCATTGGTGTCAGTGGGAGGAATAGTGCCCCATCATTGGTATCAGTGGCAGGAATAGTGCCCCATCATTGGTATCAGTGGGAGGAATAGTGCCCCATCATTGGTATCAGTGGGAGGAATAGTGCCCCATCATTGGTATCAGTGGGGGGAATAGGTGCCCCATCATTGGTATCAGTGGGAGGAATAGTGCCCCATCATTGGTATCAGTGGGGGGAATAGGTGCCCCATCATTGGTATCAGTGGGAGGAATAGTGCCCCATCATTGGTGTCAGTGGGAGGAATAGTGCCCCATCATTGATGTCAGTGGGAGGAATGGTGTCCCATCATTGGTGTCAGTGAGGGGTGGAATAGTGCCCCATCATTGGTGTCAGTGGGGGGTGGAATAGTGCCCCATCGTTGGTGTCAGTGGGGGGGGAATAGTGCCCCATCATTGGTGTCAGTGGGGGGGAGGAATAGTGCCCCATCGTTGGTGTCAGTGGGAGGAATAGTGCCCCATCATTGGTATCAGTGACACCAATGATGGGGCACTATTCCTCCCACTGAGACTTGCTGACCCTGTTCTCGTATGGTGCTGCTGCAGCCAGCATATGTGGTTGCAGCAGCACCTCTACACAGAACACTTACCTGCTGCTCCGGCACTCAATTTTCGCGGGGCCGCTCGGCTCCGCCCCCTCGCCGGTGATTGGCCGCCTGTGTGCCTTTCCTGAGCTACAGTTCTGGCGGCCAATCACCGGTGAGGAGGCGGAGCCGAGCAGCCGCACGAACATCCAGTGGCCGAACTGAAGGAGACGCCGCGCTTCCTGGACTGGATCGTCGTGGGACTGGATCCAGGTAAGAGACATCAGCCCCTGCAAACCCCTGTACTTAATGCCGCAGCCCCCCTAAACATGTGTACCGGCGTATAAGACGACCCCCGACTTTTGAGAAGATTTTCAAGGGTCAAAAAGTCGTCTTATACGCCGGCAAATACGGTATGTGACAGCTTCACCCACAGGGCCCTATCCCCAGCCATATTTAGCTGGCAGCTGGAAGATTCCCTGACCTAAGCTGAATGTAAATGTACATTACCCCCACAGGGGCCACTTAATACTGCTTGTCCTTAGTGGTTGGCCTGACCTTGCAAGCCTCTCAACACCTCTGACACTCTGGGTTCAGACATATTTCAACAGTATTAAATATTAATGCAAGAGACACAATTCTTTAGTAACACATCTATATTAGGTTCATTCAAAAGAGTAGACCACAGGATGAAGGTTTAGGAGGTACATCTCTAGTTAACGCAGAAAAGAAAAACGCTGATAAAATGGAAATAACCAAATAGCAACGGTTATATGGTCACACATGGTATGTTGTAACTATGTAACTGCAACACTAGCAGCAGGAGGGGGAAGAAAATGCTTGTTGACTTATCAGCCCCCTCTGGGCCACCAGCGTCACAATAGGGAATGCAAAAAATTATATATATAAATATAAATTATGCTTCGCAGGTCACAGTCTTGGATATATACCGTATTTTTCGCTCCATAAGACACACCTGACCATAAGACTCACCTAGTTTTTAGAGGAGGAAAACAAGAAAAAAATATTCTGAACCAATGGACTGCAGACATAGTACAGGAAATGACCAGAGACTGCAGACATAGTACAGGAAATGACCAGAGACTGCAGACATAGTACAGGAAATGACCAGAGACTGCAGACATAGTACAGGAAATGACCATAGACTGCGGACATATTACAGGAGATGACCAGAGACTGCAGATGTACTACAGGAGATGACCAGAGACTGGGGACATAGTACAGGAGATGACCAGAGACTACAGATGTAGTACAGGGGATGACCAGAGACTGAGGACATCGTACAGGAGATGACCAGAGACTGCAGACCTTTGGGGAGCGGATACCCAAATTTGACAGGTACCCGCTCCCACTTCCGCTGCAGAAGTTGTCCTCCCTCCCTATAGTCTTCTTGGACACGTGAAAGGTCCCAGAAGACTTTTGGGCCATTTACAAAGTGCAGCGCTTCTCGCACATGCGCAGTGGGCACCCGGCTGTGAAGCCGCAAGCTGTCACAGTCAGGTGCTCACACTGAAGATGCCAGCACCAGGGAGAGAAGACGGCCGGTGAAACCAGCAGTGATGAGGACACCGCTGGACCGAGGGACAGGTATGACCGAGGAGCAGGTTCTGCTGCACAGAAGAGCCGAGATGACAGCCGAGTATTCTAACACGGCGGCGGTGGTGGCAACGGGGGAAATACCGGGCCGGCCACTCCATAAGACGCACAGACATTTTACCCATTTTTTTGTGGGAAAAAAGTGTGTCTTATGGAGCGCAAAATACGGTATATATATGTGTGTGTGTGTGTGTATATATATATATATATATATATATATATATATAGTATATATATTGTGAGGGGTTAGCCCAGTAGCGGATTGTGCCTGACCCCCTGGATGGGTCAGAACACCGTGAAAGAGGCTCAGCACGACAGCAGGATCTTGGTGAAAAGTTTATGCTTTATTTACAAGTCAGGTGAACACACGGTGCAAGTAGTCAAAACAGCAAGAAAAATACAAACAGAAAATAAAACCTTGCCCCACTGGGCATCTAATTACAAACACAGGTTTCCTATCTATCTGTCTGAATACAGCCTATCGCTGCTCAGACACAGAGTGTTCACACAGTCTAAGATCACACAGATTATCTCTCACCACAGGATGGTTTGGTTGCTCCCCAGTCTGTCCTGCACAGCAGGTTGAGGGGTTCCAGACAGTTCTCGTAATGCAGAGGAAACTGGTTTATCAGTTTCTTCTTTGGTTTGTAAAGCCTGTTTTGGGACCTGTGGCCTGGAGATTTCTAAGAGATTTGGGAGGGATGAAATCTCCAATCCTGGGTCCAGGTTTTGATAGCAGCCAGCACACTGATTGCGCCTGTGTGTGCAGGCCTTTTTGTAGCGGCCCAAACCATGATTCTGGGCTCCACCCCAGCAGACAAGAGGTCAGTGCCCAGGACTCAGGAGGGCTCCACCTAGGTGAGGTGGAAGCCAGAAGCAGCTAGGGGCTAGCTGTGTGTTTAAAGGCCCTTTTGGAAGGAGTCTGTAGGAGACAGATGTAAAGCGGTATACCTGAGAGAGCCAGAAGGGTGAACATTGTTTCATTTGTTTGATGGTGGATACCCCTGCGTGGGAAGCATTTATTGAACTTTTGTTTAAATAAATTGGGCTAAAAGGCCTTTAAAAAGAAGAAGAAGCGAGTTGCTGTGTGCTTTTAAAAGAAAAGCTCTACCATTTTGATGCAAGTTCCCAATATATATACACACACAGTATGTATGATTTAATCATGTTCTATGCTACAAGAGCTCTGAGCTTTCTGATCTTTCTCTATCCACTTATCTGAAGGGTGTTGTGGCCTGACTTCACTTATACATTTCTACATACCTTCTGTTATAAGCAGCATTTTCATCCTGAGTTTCCAAGACTAGTAGTTCTGGTTTGTCAGATTTTGCAAGTGAAAGCTTTGTTGCAGCTGTGTTACTGGCCATTTTCCTTTTTTCTGTTGCAGTCTTCTTTCTGTTGGTGTATCTTGCACTTCTTTTGCTATAGCAGGCTATGTCTGGGTGGATGTTGCAGCCCATAACCTGTTAGAGATTCTGTATATAGCCCTACAGAACATACAGTGCACAGTCGGCATGTATTTATCTGCTGCTAACCGGAAACAGGAACTTTATTATAGAGAAAACACACTGCCATCTACTGGTTGATGTAGTTGTTGCAACAGGAGTGCCTGGAGAGACTACAGTTTCTGTCATATCAGTCAGTCTGTCAGGGACCCCGGGAGTTACCACGGCGCGCGAGTCTGCACATGCGCGGTCCGTCTAGGCGCACTAGCATGCGGGCGCTAGGACCTGGGCGACCGCAACGGGGGCCGCGCATGTGCACTCGCACTCACAGACACACGCTTGGCACCAATGAGTGCACAGGGCGCACTATTTAAACAGGCTTTGGCAATACTCAAATTGCCGTATGGTCTTTCCTGCTGTTCCTGTGTCCTGAGTTCCTGAGTGATTACTAGTTGCCGACCCTGCCTGACCCTGATCCGTTGACCGTCTCGTGCTCTGATCCCTGACTACTCTTTTGCCTGCTCCTGAATTATTTGATCTCCTGTTGCTGAACCTTTTGCTCGTGACGCGGTTACTCTTTGCCTACTGCCTTGTACCGTCTGCCTTTGCTATTATCGACCTGGCCTGTCTGACTCTGCTATACTCTATACTGGCATCCATCCCGCTTGGATCCAGTCGCCACTGTC